CCATTTCATCTCTCAAATTTGGCAGCAACCAAACTTGCCACATCATCCAAATAAACAGAATTTGGCTTCAAAATTTCCATGGAACAAATAAACACAGTGGGAAAAATCCAGCAACATCACAATAATATAAAATAAAATAAAAATTGCCATTGTAATAGGTTTTTGGAGAAATTATTACCAGAGATGGAAAAATAATATCAAAAAATAAAAAATAAAAATTTAGATTGCAAAATCTTGCAATATTATATATATAAAAAAATTGCCATTACAACAAATTTTCCATGGAACAATAGATTTTTGCCATTACCAGAGATGGAGAGAGAGGGGGGGTGAGACAGAGATAGAGATAGAGACAAGAACAACCACCCGTCTGAGAGGTTCATCATCAAAGAGGTGATGAGGATCGCTGATCGGTGATGAGTGAGAGAAAGAGTGAGAGAAAGCTGAAGAGAAAGAGAAACATAGAGGTAAAAGTCGCTGATCGGTAATCGGTAATGAGGATTGGTGATGAGGTGATCGTTGGTCGGTGACAAGTGAGAGAAAGCAGAAGAGAGTGAGAAACAAAGATGTGAGAGTGAAATAGAGGGAGAGAGCAACTTGGGAAAAGAGGGGAGGATGATTCGGCTATTGGATTATATAAAGATCCAACGGTGAGGGTGAATTATATATATATATATATATATATTTGTAATGGTTTGTTTTTTGGTGGGGTGAATTATATTTATTTATTTATTTTCAAATTTTCAATTTCTTTTTCATTTTTTATATTTGTCTAGTGGGGTATAATGAAAATATATAATTTTTTTTTACAAACAGTTAAAAAAAGGTCACAAAAGACAAAAAATAAACAAAAAAAATACTAAAAAACTTATATCCAAACAATACCTACAAATTTGAAAGGAAAAGTTGGTTGAGATTTACCAAAATAGCATGTGTACCATTGGAGTACCATTGCTATAATTTGATAAATTACTACTATTCATTGCCAAATATTCATTGTCAAATTATAATAATGACAATGGTATTAAAGCAAATACCATTGAAAATGCTCTAAGTAATAAATTATTTATTTTTTATTATTATAGGATGTGCCGATTTATTATTATTTAATAAATAGTTAACTAAAATCATTAGGTCCGAAATAGCCTGAAAGAATGTTTATTGGCCCAAATTCTTGACCAGGCCCAACAGGCTTGATTCATCAAATGCATTATAAACAGACTGCAATTGAATCTTGTAGGGTTGGGCTGGTCTTGAAACATTCCCAAACCTTTCCCATTCCTAGGAATGGCAACGGGGCAGGGCGGGGCCGAGGATCACCCTCCCCGTCCCCGGCCCCGATCCCCGACGGGGAACCTATTACCATCCTCGTCCCCGTCCCTAACGGGGATCGGGTTTCCCCGACCTTGAAAATTCCCCGGATCAAAAAAAAAAAAAACAGTAGCAACAACAACAACGATTCAATTCTACAACAACATCCTCAACATCAACATCATCAATAACAATATCATCAAACAACATCAACAACACACAAATCTAAGTAGAGAGAGAGAGAGATAGATCTGAGCTGCAATCTAATATATATATATATATATGTATACATAACACGTAGAGAAAGAGAGACAGAAAGAGTCGGGCAGCGGAGGAGATCGCGGAGGAGGGCGGCGAAGGAGATCGGCAACGGAGGGCAGTGGAGAAGCGCCGCTCCTCTACCGTCGACGGAGGAGGGTGGCGTTGTGAGATCGGCGGAGGAGGACGACAAAGGAGATCGGCGGAGCAGCTCTTCTCTGGCGGAGGAGATCGGCGCAAATGAACTTTCTTCTCTCTCTCTCTTTCTCTTCTCATTTTTCTCACGCGAATGAAGCCGTGTATGAGTGTGATTGTGTGAGGGAGCATAGTAGCAGACACACAAATATATATAGACAGGGGTAGAATTGTAATTTTATTTCGGAGAAAAAACGGGGTGGGGGTTGGAGGCGGGGCCGGAGACGGGATTGAGAAATGTATCACCATCCCCGGCCTAAACATTATCGGGGATTTATTTTTAAATATCATCCCCTGCCCGTCAGGGATATTTTTCGGGAAAAAACCACTCTAATTGGGGTCGGGGAGTCGGGTCCCCGTCGGACCGGGTTTAAATTGTCATCCCTACCCATTCCTATACCTATTGTATTGAGTAATCCTACCTCTACACAATTTATGTACACAAATATATCAATAAAATTTATTGCGTAGCCAAGAGTTATTCCTAGTGACCTCTACAATACATAAGTTGAATCTTGGCTATACATTACTTTCATGTGCACCATTTTCGTGCACATTTTTATTGTTAGTGTAATTATAGGACCAAGTCAGATAGTGTTCCCAAATGAATAATTTTAGACATCATAAAATTGTATTCATAATTTTACTATGAAAGTAAAGTATATGACGGATATTTAAAATTATTAGATAGTAAATGTTGTTATAAGGAAGTATTTTGAGAATGACGCTACATGGCCAAGGTGTCTTCAAGATATCGGCCGAGGTGCCATGTGTGTGGATCATGTTTGCCAAGGTGATTGCAGCATTGTCGAGGTTCGGTGCGGTGGTGTTGGAATTCGAGATATTGGGATAGAGGACAAAAGTCCTAGATAAGAGGAGACTCTTAGTCTGAATAAGGATAAGACTCTTGAAGAGTTTATCCCTATTTAGTGTTGGAAAAAATGATTTTTTTGTGACTTTAATTTAATATTAAAGTGTAGTGACTTTAATTAAATATTAAAGTGGGTCCCAACCATTTATTATGTTAGGTCTAAGTGGGCCAAAAACTATTTAGATTTGAATAAGAAATTGCTAAGAAATTGCCTCATGATGTTAGATTCATGAATGAGATTTTAAAGGGTATTTAAATTCTTTTTCTTGGCTAAAGGGTGTGAATCTTTTGGGCATCCAAACTTTTCAACTTTTTGAAAATGGGCCATGGATGTTGGTTAATTGTGTTTTAATGACCAGCCTTTTAGGCTGGAGGCTCTTCTTCTTTCCCTTATACATGTATAAATTGAGACCCTCCTGTCAAGTCTCAATGTAGAAATTTTTGCTTCCATTTTATAAGTCAGTTTGCCAGAAAGTTCCTACAGTGAGAGAGTGCTGCCATAGTTTTTGTTCGCTAAGCTAGACAGAGAGTGCTTCTGCTATAGCTGGTTTTTGACCGTTGTATCTTGGGAGACAAACGCCGGGATTCCTCAAGCACTCGACCCGTGAGGCGGCGAAATCTGTTTTAAGGAAACTACTACCGTGCATGCTTCGGTTTGGTTTCTTTACCATTTTATTGTTTTGTGTATTTCTGTTGAAATTTAGTTGTAATTATCAGCATATGTTCTTGATATATAATTTTGATTTCTTCATAAATCTATTTATTTAATTTCACAATTTGTCCGAGATAAGTATTGTGCCTAAGTCCTGTGAAGTCAGACTTCTAAGGGATTAGGTCATTGTTGGTTATGAAAGCGAGGCACTCTCGTGGATGGGTCTAAGGTATACTTTATTTGCTAAATTTAGTACTTGTGTGATATATTTGAGAGATTATTTGACTGACTTGATCATTGTAGTGTCTCGGCTGGACGAACCACTATGGTGTTCTCATTTTCTTGCTGGGAGATTGTTGGCTTAATTTATTTTGTCGCGTACTCTCCAACTAAGTTTTCTATTTGATTATGTGGTCGGAAATCAACACAGTTGTATATATTTGAATTATAAGTAAAGGTTGGGTTGACTTTTTGATTATTTTAACCTATGACTAAAAAGTTTTGTTTGGGAAGGGCTTTTTGACCTTTTAAACTTTTTATGAGAGAAATAATGTGATGATTATGAATTAAATGTGATATTTTATCTTATTAAATTAAAAAACTTATTTTATTATTTTGTGATTAAAATAACTCTATATTCAACCCTACCCAACCTTTATTCCAAACGAAGCATAAATGTAGTACAATTGTCCTGAAATTGATGTGCATACACTGGCCGTTTGGGCTTGTCTTATTATTTGTTGTTCTAATTTGGCTTTACATAATCAAATTTGTGAATGATTACAAAACCATTTGCATAAAAGACTGGTTTAGTGGCAAACTCATTGGATAATCATCTCACACCTACTTAAAAGATAAATTTATCTTGTCACCTATATATTTTTCATGAAGCTTTCCAAATAGCCTGACTATTGGGTTAAGTCAATTGAACTTCGTTCATTCATTGATCCCATAAACCCATTTTAAAATTTCACAAATGGCATCTAAATTACGGGTAAATAGCTTTTAAATTATAAGTAAAAATTTAATATAACGGCGATATCGATGACGTCATATTATTAATTAATAACAAATTACATGATGTGAAGTGTTTAGTTTGTTTTTTTAAAACTATTTTCATATATATATATATATATTTAAAATATAAACTAATCTCACCAAAATAAATATCACAAAAATATTTTTAAATTTTTAAAAATTATTTATACCCTCTCAAAAGATAAAATTAAATAAAAAATGATAATTATTTTTAAAATTTTGTTTATCAAATTAACTTTTTAATTATTTGAATTATTTTTTTTTCAAAATAAATTATGAAAACTAAACCAATCATAACCACTTTTTCCTTTTCCACTTTCTTTTTCCCCCATGGTGTTTGGCATGAAGGAAAAAAAAAACAGAGTTCCTTTCTCATCCTACAAACATAATTAGATGTTTTTATATATATAACCAAATCAAGACACCGTTTTTATCTCTCTCTCTCTCTCTCTCTCGCTACTTTGAAGATACTGGCTGACCGCAGGTCCTGGTGATTTCTTGCTCACGCCAGGAGGATGCCCAACTCCTGCATTCTATGCAATATTCCGATCTGAATTCAGGTGCTTTCTTATTACTCCGATTTTATTTTCTTATCTACTCTTTTACACAAATTGCTGATATACACTTTTGCAAGTAATTAGAGAGGTCTGCGTTTCATATTGGTTTTTGTGGTTACACTAGATGTTAACAATGGCGAAGACTTCAGAGTTCACGTGTTCTCTTCATCATCAGAGGTTCGATTCCTCAAGCCTTCGCTTTCACTGTGCTTGGATTTTTTTATTTGCTTAGCCTCTCACTGTATGTGGATTCTTGGTTTTGAATTTCTTACTTTCAAGTGAATCACGACAATTCGATCATTTTTTTTTATTGAATTGCTTCATTTTATTTTTTATTAACTGTAGTTTAAAAAATTATTATATTGATGAAATTATATGAATTTGGCGGAATAGACCAGTGTTTGTTCTACCCTTGCCAATTTTTATTTTGGGTGAATTGCACTATTAATCCCTTTAGTTTGAGAAAGGTTCCATAATTTTATTTTCATCAATTCAAATTCAACACTTTAATTCAATGTCATACTCTCTCAGTTGAAGTTTTCGCAGTTCTCACATAAGAAAAAACAAGTGTTCTTACAGTTTATTTCAAATTTAACCTTGGTTAATCTAGTTTTGCATGTATTTTCTTTTTGGCTAAAATATTAACAGCAATTGACAGAGTGATCACACTGAAACGGAATTAAAAATGTTATGTTTAAATTGATGAAATTGAAATACAGGATCAAAGTGAAATTTTACTTAGATTAGAGGGAAGAATGATGTAATCTACCATTTTTTTTTCATCAGAAATACCAAAGAATCAAATGATTCAATGGCTAAAACTCTGCCATGGGTTTGAACATGAGGATAGTCACCTTGTACAAATAATAAGACAGTCTGTACCCAATTTACCCCAATCCCCTATGGAATGGAGAGTAAACTAGGTGCAATTTTTTAAAATTTTCATCAAGGCACTAAGAAATGTTAAAAAAATGTCATGAACTCAAATTGTGGGAATTGGGCAATAATTCATTTTTGAATAGCATTATTATATTTGAGTGGTTGTGGAGGTGGGAATGGAATGTGGGAAAATAACAAGAAAAGGCGACGATACCAATGGTGACAATGATGGTAGGAGGAAGATAATTGCAAACGGCACTTCAATTTTTTATTCAACTGATAAAGGAGTAACATTAAAGAAATTTCAATTGAACCCTCACAGTAATATATATTTATTTTTTGGTAAAATAAATATGATTTGTAGTTGTTTTCAGTGTTATTGATTGTTGGGTAAACATGAATGAACTTTGAATTGTTGCTGGATATATAATTTGTGTCAATTAAAGTCCATGGTACTAAACTTTCTTCTTCATTTTATTTTTCTTCGTATATCAGTTGCTTGAAAAGCTGCATGAGAAGTGGACCATACCCAGCAATGTATTCTAGTATTTTTGGTGGAATTATTCTTGATCCAGCAATGATGGTTATTCCAGTGGATGATCATATGGTTCATAGAGGACACGGTGTGTTCGATACAGCTATCATCCTTGACGGGTGGGCACAGTAATTCCCTTTGGCATATATAATGATAACATTTTTTCTGCTTCAGATTAAACCATACTCTTTTTAAGGTTTATGCATATAGCTCAAAAACCTATGACAATATTTGAGAAGAAAATCCTGATCCACTGATCCACTGTAAATAGATGAATCACAATTTTGACAAAATTGTATTGATGCTTTTTAGCTCTATGACCTCTAATCTAGAACATTAATTTTCTTTTGGTTCATTTATGTTTAGGTTGATTAGTTTGCCCGACCAATGATGCATAAATTTGAGATGTAAAATTTAACATTGACGGCTGTTACAGTTATATTCTAGAACTTGCTTAACAGTATTTTAAGCTTGCATTTTCCATTGTCCCTATATATATATATATTTCGTTTCCATTATTATTAATTCTCTTTTCAATCTGCTTTTGCATAAGCAAGTATTATTGGTATTGAATTAGTTGTTTCCCACAGACACCTGTATGAGCTGGATGTCCACCTGGACCGTTTCCTCAGATCAGCATCAAATGCAAAGATTCCATCCCCCTTCCCTCGATCAACTCTCCGAACCATTCTCATTCAACTTGCAGCCACATCACAGTGCAGGAAAGGAACTCTAAGATACTGGCTGACCGCAGGTCCTGGTGATTTCTTGCTCACGCCAGGAGGATGCCCAACTCCTGCATTCTATGCAATAGCAATCAAGGAAGATTTTTTGCAATGCAAAGAAGGTGTGAAGGTGATAACTTCCAATATCCCAATGAAGCAACCTCAATTTGCCACCATGAAGAATGTAAATTACCTTCCGAATGTCCTTTCCAAAATGGAAGCCGAAGAGAAGGGAACATTTGCGTCCATCTGGGTTGATGATGAAGGTTTTATTGCAGAGGGTCCAAATATGAATGTGGCTTTTATAACCCATGACAAGGAGCTCATTTTGCCTCTCTTTGATAAGATCCTTGGTGGGTGCACAGCCTTAAGGCTTCTTGAACTAGCAACCAAATTGGTTGAGCAAGGGCGTTTGAAAAGTGTGAAAACTGGTAATCTTACAGTGGGTGAAGCGAAAAGCGCGGCTGAAATGATGTACGTTGGAAGCACGCTTCCTATATTGCCTATTATCATGTGGGATGACAATCCCATTGGAGATGGTAAACCAACTAACCTTCAGTTCTCATATTCTTAATTTGACTTTGAAGTGAATTAGGCCTTTGATTTGGATGCCCCTTAATTTTGAGTCTTGACACGGCAAACATTCAATGTGGACTAAAAACCATTGAACGGTTGATTAACCTTTTCTTCCATGGTATGAGGTTGTGGTTGTAAAACAATCTCAATTTTCCAACTAGGACAGGTTGGCTTGTTGGATATGGTTCAACATGAGCTGTCCAGATTAGTTGCCTAAGAAATTCAAAATTGCCAGTTCTTACACGCATTATTTTTGGTACATTATCTCCTGTTTGGGTTGTGACCACATGATAGTGGACTAGAGCCCGTGTCAGTTGTCTGGCTTAGCTCTCACCTAGAAGTATTGTCTTCTATGACCCCACCTAACAACTACTCTCACGGGTTTGTGACTAGGATCGTAAACAACCGAATTGAGCCTAGCAGTAAGTAGTTAAAACTTGGCCTTTTTACCTTTAGAGCAGATCTCGATCAAGCTTTAATCGAGCTGTCCTACATTGCTTTATAAATCCATTATGGACATCGTCTGCATCTTAAGTGGTATGCCAACAATCTGTAGTTCTTTGATCACAAGTTGACTATAGGTAACATCTAATTCCTACTTATCTGTTCTTGTTACTTGTAACAGGAAAAGTGGGAGAACTGACAATGGCGCTTTCGGATCTGCTCTGGGATGATATGGTGGCAGGCCCTGAAACTCACAGGCTACCTGTTCCCTATTAAGTGTGGAAGCTCTCAAGTTATTCAAATTGAAGAGGACATTGAAGGAATGCATAGTGTTTAATTTAGAGACCTCATTGCTCTGATATAATCCTGTTTGTGTATGCTTGTAAAATTTGCTTATTTTGTTAATGAACATTGGGAAAAACAAGTAATTAATAAAATTTTGAACAAGGTGTGTTTTGCATGAAAGTTATCTAGCTTTTGAATTTAGAACTTGTTTTGATTTTTCAAAATCTCAATCTACCAAACAGCTTTGCAATAAATAAATTAAAAAAAATGAAAATGTTCACAAACATTATTTTTATACATGGGTTCAATATCTCTGTGTTTTGGAGTAAAAACTAGAATAAAAATTTTTTAGGCTACGTTTGGTTTAGTTTTGGAATTGTGATTCTCTTTTTGAAGTTGTGATTTAAGTGTGGAATTATAAGTTGAGTTTTGAAAAGGGAAAATTTGTTTGCTTATGAATTTTAAATTTTAAAAAGAGCTATATATATATATATTTGTTTTAGATATTTTTTAAATATAGAAATTATTTTTTTAAAATTTTTTATAAAAATAATTAAACAATCTCATCACTAACTATTTTCAACACTATATCATTAAAAAAGTTTTGAATTGAGTTTTGAGTTGTGTGTTTAGTTATGAGTTTTGAGATTGATTTTTTAATTGAGTTTTGAGTAATTTTGAGTTATGTGTTTGGTTATGAATTTTAAAAAGTAATTTGAAAATTTTGTTTTTGGAAACCAAACACAGCCTTAAAAATGATTTCTTCCAATATTTCTTAGTTAAGCATGTATACAATAAAAACAGAGTACAAAATTAGAAAAAAAAAAAATCATAAAATTTTATATTAAAAGTATTCATTTAAATGCTATTTTGGAACATGAGCCCCACGAAAAAAACTAAATTTAAATACAAAGAAGAAAATAAGGAAAAATATAGGCGAATTAGAAAATAGTCACTGATTGTCTCGTTTTGGCTGACCAATTAAATGTTTTCAATTCGTCGCAGCCTGCCTCTCTCATTGTTTGTTTTGAAAGATATTAAAGTTTTATGGTTGGTTTGCGACGTGGGTTGATTTTTTAGTTTTTTTAATTGGGATTAAAAAATTTTATTTGTGATAAATTTTTTATTGTTTTTGATTTTTGTGGGAGAAAAAAATAAATTGATTATATTTTAGATATGATATTTTATTTTATTGAATTAGAAAGTCTATTTTATCTTTTTGTAACTATTTTAATAAAAAAATCTCATTTTAACTTATGTTAAACGAAGCTTATTATATAAGATTAGAATTGTCTCTATTACGAAGTTGATAGGTCAACGATAAGTCCAACTCATCGCGATGCTTAACGTGTATTCTGGGATGCTTTGTAAAGTTGAAGTTGATTTAGAAAAATGCTAGGATTACTAAAATTCACTTTTATGGATACATAATTTACACTTATGTTAAACGAAGCTTACTATATAAGTTTAGAATTGTCTCTATTACGAAAGTTGATAGATCAATGATAAGTCCAGCTCATCACGATGCTCGACGTGTACTCTAGGATGCTTTGTAAAGTTGACATTGATTTAGAAAAATGCTAGGAATACTAAATCACTTATATGGATATAGAATTCACACTTATGCTAAACAAAGCTTACTATATAAGTTTAGAATTGTCTCTATTACAAAGGTTGATAGATAACGATGAGTCCAGCTCATCACGATGCTTGACGTGTACTCTTTAATGCTTTGTAAAGTTGATATTGACTTAGAAATGTGCTAGGTAAATCACTTGGATATGGAATTCACACTTATGTGAATATTTAATAAGTTTTTTGATAAAAAAATTAGTATATCTAGCATTGTTAATTTATTTAGGTTTTATTTGGCAACTCAATCTTTTAGTTTAAAAGTTAAAAAGTCACGAAAAAAATTAAAAAAACTAACAACTTATACAAAAAAGTCAAAGATTTATTTTTTACTTTACTTTTTGTATATCTTTTCATAAAAAGTCATTTCAAACATATTAATTTTTTACCTCATATTTCAGTAAACAAAAAAAGTTAAAAAGTTAATAAAATAGAGTTGATTTGAGAAGTAGGTTAAAAACTATTTTTTTGGTTTTTTTTTAAAAAAATAGAGAAATAATGTGACTTAAAAGAAGTTAAAAGTCAAAAATTGATTTTTAACCTCTTTCCAAAACAGGTCATAGTATATTTCCAAACGAGACCTTATTGTTATGTAGAGTTTTTTTTTTTTTTTTGATTCAAGTGAAAAGAGAACAAAGTAGCAGAGTTTAAGTACAAACAAATAATCAAACAAAGGCCATTAGAATCTAGCTACACTAGAAGAAACTATGTCTATAATCAGAAGAGAAGACTATCACGACCCAAACCTGCCCCTACAGATTTAGTATCGTAACCGGCCAGTAATCCTAGGATTACTGAAGGCCTCTGAGACATATTAACATAATATTAGGGGCTAGCGGAAACAAATAACAAATATACAACGTCCATTGAGCTGTGCAGACTTATATAAGACAGAAAAATTTGAAACTTTTTATATACATAATTACACATCATTCTGAAGACTATCACGACCCAAACCCGCCCCTACAGATTTAGTATCGTAACCGGCCAATAATCCTAGGATTACTGAAGGCCTCTGAGACATATTAACATAATATTAGGGGCTAGCGGAAACAAATAACAAATATACAACGTCCATTGAGCTGTGCAGACTTATATAAGACAGAAAAATTTGAAACTTTTTATATACATAATTACACATCATTCTTACGTCATCATATAAATACAGATTAGACAAAAAAAGACTTAGCCTTATATACAAAATAAACAAAGACTTGTTTAACCAACAAGAAAACAAAACTTGAACTTTATGTACTTAGCCATGACCACTAGACATATCCGGAACCTCCACGGGAGGCACATAGGTTGGCTGGCAAAACAGAGTCCAGGTAGAGGCTCTAGGCCTGGTCACACGGCTGCTCACCTACATACATAAATAATACACTGAGCTGAAGCCCAGTGAATAATAACAAAGTAAAGAGTCTTAATGAATGATGTCCATCACAGAGTAAAAAATCAGAGTTTATATCAGAAACAGGTTCTTATCAGAAACAGAGTCTTATGCATATTCAGATTCCAAATCAGAAACAGATTCATATACATGTTCATATTCAGATTTTGCATATGATCATACGTGGTTCATCCATTAGAGCTAACAAATCTGATGACACATAAAGGGACAGCCTTAAAGGCATTCCGATGACTCATGTGCACAGAGACGTTTCCGATGACCCATAAGGGACATGATGACCCGTAAAGGGAAGGCCATAAAGGCATTTTGATGACTCATGTGCACAGAGACGTTTCCGATGACCCATAAGGAACCTGATAACCCGTAAAGGGACGGTCATAAAGGCATTCTAATGACCCATAAAGGGACCTGATGACCCGTAAAGGGATCTGATGACCCATAAAGGGACGACCATAAAGGCATTATGATGACCCGTAGAGGGACCTGATGACCCATAAAGGGACGAATATCATATGATGTTAAGGATGCCACAAATGCATTTCAGAATCTTGGATAATCATTCATTCATTTCAAACATAGCGTAGCATTTTAGAAACCAATCATTTCATAATTTCAAACATAGCGTAGCATTTCAGAAACTAATCATTTCATATCATAATATTCAGAAAATATTTAACATTGAACATAACTTTACAAAGTTAGTACTCACAGTGTTCTGGTGCTTGATTCGTCCCTGCGCTTGACCCTACATAATTCATAACACATTGGGTCATATTACAATTCATTCAATTCTTTAGCTTGTTTAACATTCTTAGGCTCATTTCATGTCCTTTAATTCATTTACAATGTTTAATGCATGCCTAAGAGCGCTTTGAAATGAAAGAGAACGGAAAACGAAGCATAAAACATCTTTTCAAAATTTCTAAAACAGGGCCCTCCGCTCGAGCGGACCCCTTTGTTCTGCAAAAGTATTGGTTACTTGCAAATTACGCTCAAGTGAGACTTCTGAAGCTCGAGCAAGGAGTTTGGCAAAATAAGGTACGCTCAAGCTAGACTCTCCACGCTCGAGCGGACATGTCGAATTCTGGGTTTTTCTAGATTATGTTTGAGCTTCAACACTTGGTTCCAACCAATGTAATAAACATCATAAGACTCATATTTCCACCATATAACTTCAAAACTCATGCAAATTAATTTCTATTTCGTTTTGAAATATACATGCATGTGAAATATAGGCTTCATTCTCAACTTAAATAGTACAATTGATGATCAACTTCATGAAATTCAACATTACCATGCTTGCATATGCCAAATAGCCCTCAATTCATAATGAAATGCATGTTTGTATTCAAAGATGCAAACTCATGACAATCCTTTATATGCATGTACACACAAACCTCAAATTCATCAAATTCAACTCAATTCATGTTCTTCATATCAAGCCCAATTCCAAATTCACAAATTCTAAAACTTGAATTGAGCTTTCAAGATAATTTCAAAATTTGGGTTCATACATGGCTTGTCTTAAACATACAAACTCTTGATTAATCAAGAAAATATGATCCATTTTAAATCATTTACATCAAAACTCCTTTAATTATAAATTAGGCTTATTGTTCATAAACCCATAAATTTTCATGGCTTAATTCTTATTTCATCAAAATATGAAATCAATTATTAGAAATCCATGATGCATGTAAATTTACATCTCATATATATATATATATATTAAGGTCTCCGAACCCAAGCTCAATTGAAGAATTATAATTATTTCCATATTGATTAACCTCAACCGTGTTCATGAATTAATCCTTTAATTTCTCTAAATTGCATGCATGTAAAAAAATAAGACTCAAATTCATATAAGACATGCAAAATCAAACCCAAGTAACTAATTTCTAAGTTGATTTCCATAATCCTTAACCTAACTCATTTGTATGGGTCAAATCTTTAATAAACCCTTGTTGCATGTAACTTATAGAACTTAATGCGAGAATAATTCTCCAAATTGAACTTAAACTTAATACAACCCGACATAACTCAACATGATTCAAACACAACTTAATTCAACATAAGTCAACACAACTTAATTCAACAATACTATTTGCACTTTGACATAATTCAAGATAAATTCTTG